TGTATATAGTATATATATATATATATATATATATATATATATATCAAATGTACATATTTAAAAAAAATAATCTTCTCATTATTAAAAAACTTCATTTATTAATGTTCATACAATTTTTTGTATTAATTGTTGCTTATTTCTTTGATGGAATGCTATAAAAAAATAGTAAGACTTTCTTAAAAACAATTTATAGGTTTTTACTTAGGAATCAATCCATAAGAAAGAACAACTCATATTTTTTTAACTTCAAAATTTATTCAAAACATAAAAAAATATATATAGATACAAATTTTGATTAAAAATTATAAAATTAGATAAAATTTTATATTTTATATTTTATTTAACCGATAATGTATTATATGTTATCAAACTAAAATAAATATGTTTTGTTCAGTCCATAGCGTAGTGCAAGAATCCAAATTGTTCATATGCCTAAAATTCCTATTCACTTATGATTTATATACATAAAATTACTATTTACTTGATGGTAATTTAAATAATTTTTGTGTACTTTTAGGCATTAATACAAATTTAACACTTTTTTTGTATTTTCATCCCTCATGCTATAACATTATTTTTCAATATTTATCTTCTTTTTTTTTCTTTTCACGTAGTGTGTATGTGTGTGTGCGTGTGTCCGTGTGTATACATACTATCTTTTTATATTTTAAAATAACATATATTTCAGCTTATATTACTTTATTATTTAAATTTTATTTTTTAGATTTATCATTTTTTTAATAAAAATTCTGATCCAATTAGTATTTTTTTTTACATAATTTTATTTAATAATAAATATAATTTATTTTACTCTATATTTGAATTTTAAAATATGATTTTTTTTCTTTTTTAAAATAAATTGGCATAATATATATCATGAATTCTTAGAAATTTTAAATTATATATATATATATATATAAAAGGTTAAAAGTGTATTTCAAATAATTTGTATCAGTTCACTAAATATGGTTAAGACGTTTGAAAAAAATATTGAATCATTGTTTTTATTAAAAATTAATTATATATCTTCTAACATAATACTAATTATTTACTATGAATATTTTTTTATTATTATAGAACCAATTTATTTAAAATAAAATAATTAAAATAATTTTTAAGGGAACCAACCAATTATTCAAATAATTTTTTATGCTAATTTTATTTATTATTTTGTGTGTGTGTGTGTGTATATATATATCAAATGCATATACTTAAAATAATAATCTTCTCATCAACATTAAATAAGAATAAAATTTTATTTTTTCATTAATTAATTTTTATGCAAGTCTATACATTAATTGTAACTTTATTTTTTATTTTTTGATATATTCTTATAAAACAATATATTTTTTAAGTATTTGTTTTTGAATTCTTAATTAATATTTCAGATTTGAATTATTATAAGTTTTTATTTGAGAATCCCTAAATAAAGAAGAATAAATCATGTTTTTTTCAAGAATAAATTTTATGAAAAACACAAAAAAAGTAATAATTAAATAAAAATTAATGAAAAATTATAAAATTATAAAATAATTTTATTCTATTTACCCCTAGCGTTGCGTGAATAATTTTAAAAATTAATTTTCTCATCAGCATTAAATAAATTTTTTTTTCATTTGTTAGCTTTTGTAAAAGTCTATCCATTAATTATAATTTTATTTTTTTTAATATAATATTATAAAAAATAAAATTTTAAAGTTTTTTAAATTCTCAATTAATATTTTAGTTAAAATCATTCATAAAGAAGAATGATTTATGTTTTTTTAAGCAAGAAAATTATAAAAAAAATCAGAAAAAACTAATTGAATAAAAAATATAATTAAAATAATTTAAAATAATTTTGTTTTATCAGATCTGTAACTTTACGCGAGCAACCGACTAGTCATTAACTATAGACCAACAAGGATGCCAGTTTTCATAAAAATAAAAGAGAAGATGGTTTTGTAAATAAAATGGTTCTCTAACCGAAATCCCAAGCCCAAGACCATGCCGAATGGTCTTGTGCTCAACAGCCATTTTATAAGCCTGGCCTACATATTTTAATGTTATTCATTATTATTTTTATGATTATTATTGTCATTGTCCGGTATTGCGATAATATTTTGTATTCTTTGGTCTGAACCAGTATTTTATTAAAATAAAATTTATTTTTATTTTATAAGTTGACAAGGGGTGTCATGTGAACAAAAATTTAAAATTTAAAATTAATTATTGTTATTGTTATTATTATTATTATTATTTATGAATCCTTTCATTGAAATAAGTCAATGGTAGCATAAGAAAATAGCCAAGACAATACAAATAAAAAATAATGAAGGATGGATTTTAATATTTGATGAACTTTGATGTAATATTATTATTTTTGGATTTTCTATATTGTTTGCTTTTATCGTCTTGTTTTAAAGTATTTTTAAAAATCTATTATATGTTATATAGGGTTTATCTAGTGTATTAATTAGATAATAATGATGAAGATACGGGATTTTAATCTATATTTTAAAAATTAATAAAATGTATATAGAATTTCAATAATGTTAATTTTTTTTCTTAATTAGAGATGGGGTTGGATTTATATGTTAATATTAAGACAGAACAATCATTTTTTTTTCCAATCTACATGACCATGAATTCTTTCTAACGAACACAAGGCAGTCTCTCAAAATATCATGTTGGTAGTATTAATTATTGTTTTTTAATTCAGAAAAATCTTTTGTCCATAAGAAAATTTATCTTTTTATTATTGGTGGACAATTTGGATTTTCAATATATTTGTATGTTCAACAAGTAGGTGGCCTAAGAGATTATCATGGTTAATTTTTTTCTTTTTTTTTTCCTCCCCTTGAGAATGATTGTCACCTATTGAGGAAAAGGGATTCGTGTTCCTTTAAACAACAATGAAATTATTGATATCATAATCTTAATAGAGTTTTATATATATCGAAACTTCGTACAATTCGATTTTTTTTATTGACACTCTAAATTTTTTTCTATCTAATTTAAGAGTTCTGCTTTTATGTTGTTGTTGTTGTTTCGGATCATAGCTAATAATAGCTTGTCATATCACCAATTCAATCATCCAATTTGACCCACTATGACATGTGGTAAATTGTTATTAGTTAGAGTTTGTCAAGTATATTTATATGATATATTAGGATTTGAAACAATAACAACATAAAAACAAAACTCTTAAATTAAAAAAAAAAACTTAGGATCTCAATAAAAAAATAAATAAATAAATTATACGGGTTCTTAATATGTACAAAACTCAATCTTAATATTGTATTATATATAATAGTCAATAAAAAATTTTTAAAGAGCAAATGTTTTTATTATAAATTATAAGTTGTTAATTATTCATCTACTCTTATATATTGAATGTATTTTCTCATATATCATTTTTTTTTTAATTCACATACATACTTGCGTATGGATATTATCTCTCACATATGCTTTTGCTACTTCTAGGAAAAAAATGGCCTTTAGACAGCAAAAAGAAAATCAGTTTTCAAAAGATAAAAGTAAAAATAAAAATCCATATCTTAATAAAACTCGAAAAACCTAGAAAATAAAAATTTTCTTTTACATAAACTATAAAAATTGAAAAATCTAGAAACTTTAGAGGTTGGAACATATCAAGAAAAATTGAAATAACCCATAACAAAAATATGTAAAAAAATTGATAATTAATGAAAAAATTGAAACCCAAGTCCAGCGATTTTATTTCGTGGCCATAGACATTTTTCTATAAATGGTATTCTATGGACATGATTTTTTCATTTTTAACATTTTACAATTTTTTTTTTTTTAGGTTTTGTCATTTATGTTATTTTTTGATTTATGGGTTTTTCTAAGCTTTTTCATATTATTTTTTTAAAAATAAAATTAAACTTTATTTTTAAAAATTGAAAAGTTAATTTTTTTAATGGTTGTAGGGTATTAATATATAAGGGCATATAAAAGAGAAAAATTCTTAAAAAGACATATGGGAGAAGAAATCCCATGTATAAGGATAAATAGATCAATTAAACCTAGATTATATTTAAAAGAGAAGATTAATTATTTATTTCTACCCCATAAATATAGCAATATTTTTTTAATTAATAAAATATGAATAAATAATACTAGAATAAGATGCCATTTCAACTAAGGTTGAAAAAAATAATAATAATAATTGAATCTTTTTTGGTACATCCATCGCACACATACAGAGTGCAATTAGCTTATCTGAAAAACTACGCGAAAACAAAACCGAAAATACAAACACACTGAACTTTCTTACAACAATCTTTTTCTCGTGTCCCCATAAATCCTCGTCCTCGTAGTGATTACAGTCCAACAACAACAATCAAATCATCAACAGCCAAACACGCAAACTTTAAGGTCTGCATTTCTTTTTTTCATTATTATTCTTTTTGTTTGTTACGATTTCAGCTCAACTAAAACAGCAGCTCTTTTACTTTTTCTCCACCAAAACCCAACTTTAAAAGATGGACTTTCTGGGTTTGCTTTGAATTCTTGAGTTCCTCTCACATTCTTTTTTGTTTCGTTTTGTTCGTTTAAGTTCGTTTTTTGAGCCGTTTTTATTGGTTGGAATAGATCAAGATGCATTAATTAATTCTCACTACCAATGTCTTCGCTTAGCTTAGCTTAGCTTGACTTCATGTTTATTCAATACAACGTGGGCCTACTCATTTTGACCGTTTCTTTGAAGTCTATGGTTCATAAAACGAATTGCCCCTTTTATTGATTAGCCTTGAGGACTTTTCAATCACATGGGCATTAAAATGATCCATATTATCTATTGGGATCCAGTTTTTCTATATAATAATCTTTTTTCTGGCTTAATTTGCTTGTAATGTATATAAAATAAAGTTTTTCTTTTTGGAGTATAGGACAAGAGACCAAAAACTAGAAAGTCTGACCAAAAGAGTTGTTGGATATGTGTAGGTTAAAGAGCACGGGCTAAGGTTGTTTCTATTTTTTTTTTTTTTTTTGGATTAATGGCGGGTTTAAAAGAGGACCCAGTTCTTGGAATTGACGGTATAAAATTAAAGGAGGAGGTTGAGCTTGGTACGCCTGTGATTGACAAATTGAGAGAGGACCACCCAGTTCTTCAAAATGACGGTACAGTAATAGAAGGGGAGTCTTTGATCAACAGCAAGTCTGTTATTGACAAGCTGAGAGAGGAGGGGAGCTGCGGTCAAGTTGAGAGAGACATGGTTCCTCTCACTAGCAATTCTATTCACAGGTCAGGTTCCAGACCGCAGCTCGACCTTAGCAAGGCTGCAATTGAAGGGACTTTTGAGGAGAGGGATCCTACAATTCTGTTGCCTAATCAATCTGATGATATATTACATTTGGCTCTTGATATTGGAGGTAGAAAGTTATTCATTATTTAATTTTGGAAATTCTCCCTCTGTTTATCTTTTCTATTTTTAGTGGCTTAATTATGTTTTTTATTCTTATTGTTTCAATGGAGTCGTGTTTTTGTTTGAATTGTTGTGAATTAGTCTCTCATTCATTCATTGTCAATTGGTTTTCTGTGTTTGACTCTTTGGGAGAAATGAGATGAAATAGAAGTCTGGATTTTGGCGTGCTCCATGTTCTCAATGGGCATGCTTGTTTTTTTATTTTTCTCTCTTTTTCTTCTTCCTGTTATTCCGTTCAAGACAATGTTTTCTCAAACAGTTCCCTTCATTCATTTCTTCAACTGCACTGAGGAAGGAATTGCTTCAACACCTACATTTTGATGGTTTGCTTTCTGAAATTAGAATGAAATTTCTAAAATTCAACTGGGAATACATTGTATTGCCTTTTATTATGTTATTTATTACACTTAGAGGGACTTTCTTTCCTTTTTCTGTGATTTCATCTGAAAAATCTGTTTTGAAAGTTATTTACATTCATCTGAATAACTGTGAGAAATATGTCCAGCATTCTGCCATATTGTGAGAGATTCAAAAATACGTATTAATTCAGTTTATATCTTTTTCAATGTGTATTTAGAGTTGTAGTTACAACTATTCTATCACTAACTCAAAGCTGCTTTTACCTTTTCCTGTTTTCCTCCAGTAGGGAAATTCTTCATTAAGCATTGTTCTAAATTTTTATGTTGATGTCAAGCTGAATGTTGATAAATCACCTGTGCGATGCATGAAAGATCAGTTAATAGTGTTTGTCTGCAGGTTCTCTAATCAAGTTGGTTTATTTTTCAAGACACCAAGGCCTACCAACTAACGATAAGAGGAAGAAGACAGTGAAGGAGAGATTAGGAATTTCCAATGGTAATAGGAGAAGCTATCCTATTCTTGGAGGAAGACTGCATTTTGTTAAGTTTGAGACAAGCAAGATCAATGAGTGCTTGGACTTTATTTCTTCCAAGCAGCTTCACTGTGGTGGTATCCGTTTTCAGACTTACTAATCTTTCTTCGACTAATATCTGTTGTCCTTGGAAGGAGACCATACCACTTGAAGTTTCACATGTTTCTTTGACTGCTTCCAAGTTACCAACTTCATTTTCATTACCCTTTTCTTTACTTTTTGTTCCCCTCTTTTTCTTGATAACTCTGGTGATTTTCTTGGAAATAGGAGTGGATTCACATAGCTGGCATTCTGAGACCTCACCCAATGGCAATGCTGTCATTAAGGTAAACTTTGTGTTTGTGTTTTCTCAGTAAATTGCTTTATCAAAACTCTGAGTTAATATATGTTTAGTGCGTAAAGGACATGTTATCTGATAACAGGGGGTGTCAGAACATTCTTTTAGTTAAGATATAGTTTAACCTAGTTTGAGCAATTTCCTTTGCATTAGCATTGAAATATGTTGTAGAATCTGTTACTGCCAAACACGAGAATGTTACTTGTTCCTCTGGTTATGCAATCAGACTCTGAATTAAACCCACATTCTGTATACCATGGGTTCTACCCATTATGAGTGTCTTTTGAAGCCTTAAATTTGAAGCAACTAGAAAAACTGTGTTAAACCCATCCTCTCTACTCATTGTTTAATAATATGCATATTATGAGTTCCTTGCTTCTTAAGTCATGATTGTAATAGCACAGCCAATCATCAGTCTACAATATGAAGGAAAAAACTAAATAACTGAGACTCATATCATCTGGTTTATACTAGTCAATGTCTATTTCTACTCATTTGTCCCTAACAGATATTCATATTAACATGTTGATTTTCTGAGAAGGCCACAGGCGGTGGGGCATACAAGTTTGCGGACCTCTTCAAGGAAAGGCTTGGTGTTAGTCTTGACAAAGAAGATGAAATGGATTGTCTCGTGGCAGGAGCGAACTTTTTGCTTAAGGTGGAATTTTGAATTCCTGTTACCACAGCCTTTGTAATTCGTTTTTTATTACTTTAATTTGCTCATGTTTTTCAAAACAAGATGATTTCTGATGAGCAATTTGTGTTTGTGCATCTTTTTAAACATCCTGTTTTTTGAAAACATTTGAACTTATCTTTGGCCTTTTCTTTGTGGTGAGAAGTGAGAGTGTTTCTTATTGGACAAATGCCATCAGCATTGCGTTTAAGTCTTTCTCTTAACTATTATAGGCTAGTCAGTTATCTATATTTGATTACTGAAATAATCAGAATATGATGACCTGCCTTTCTTGTTACAATTGGAATGATGGAACTGCTCTTGCTTTGTTGGCCAACATCATCAAACCTGTCACCTCTATCACAGCATTTTTTCACATTCTAGCTTAGTAAGCATGTTTGACGTGCATTTACGGATGGCAATTTGCCCTGCCCTAACGAGGCCTGACTCCTACCAGCCCCGGTCAATGTGGGGTTCCCTGAGTTGACTGGGGAATAGGGATGGGGCAGGGATGGTATTTGCCCGCCCTGCCCCAGCCGCTCTGCCTTTTCCTTTGGAAATCACAATTATACCCAACATATATATAAATTTTGAGGTTACAAACTAGTCTCTAATATAATGAGTGAGTTTTGATAATCTCTAAGCAATAAAGATATGCAAGAATTTGTGTTTTTTAATTGCATTTGAAATACTTCATCAACTTAATTAAGTATATTATTTATTCGATTGAAAATAATTTAATATATTATGAGTTGTGTTATAAACTTGTAATTGAATATGATGTTAAATTATTATCTTTCTAAATTGTATTTTTTATATGGATTTTTATTTTTTTGCTATAGTTTAAAATTTGATATAAGAAAATATGAGGTGGAATGGAGCGGAGTAGGCACAAAAAATTAAGGGGGCACTAGTGCCCTGCGAGGATCCCTGTTGCCCCATGGGGATCCTCGATACCCCACGGGGATCCCCATCCCCTGCCCCGCATGGGGATGGGGCATAGTTTTTCGGGGGTGGGGGCGGGGATGGCCCATTGCCATTCCTACATGCATTTGTATGATCCTCACTTTATTGTAGACTTGCTATTTTTAAATCTATATTAACCCCATAGCTCTATGAACCAATTTTGAGTAGGCTATTCGCCATGAAGCTTTCACACACATGGAGGGTCAGAAAGAGTTTGTGCAGATTGATCAAAATGATCTGTTCCCTTATCTTCTTGTTAACATTGGATCTGGTGTTAGTATGATCAAGGTAAATTATTCTTTTTTCTCAGTTTGTTATTTTCACTTTGAGAATGGTAAAACCTCATAAAGAATAAAATATGCTTTTGATTTTTATAGGTTGATGGGGATGGGAAGTTTGAACGAGTTAGTGGGACAAATGTTGGTGGTGGTACTTACTGGGGCTTGGGAAGACTGTTAACCAAGTGCAAGAGGTCATTATGATATCTAGTCTTTCTATATTCTACAAATATGGTTGAGGTCTTACTTTATTCATTTTCTTTTCAGTTTTGATGAGTTGCTAGAGCTGAGTCAAAGGGGTGATAATAGAACAATTGACATGCTGGTTGGTGATATTTATGGTGGGATGGATTATAATAAGGTATACTCTTATTTCATTCATTCCTTTCAGTTTAGCCATAGGTAACATGCTGTGAACTGCAAGGCGCACACTCTGGATTGTCATCAAGATCCATAATTGGGAATTATGTTAGTGTTTTTCTAATCTTCAATATGTTCTGATGACCATATTTTCTCCAATCATACCTTTATAGATTGGTCTCTCAGCATCAACCATCGCTTCTAGTTTTGGCAAGACTATCTCTGAGAAGAAGGAACTTACAGATTACAGACCTGAAGATATTTCCTTGTCCCTCTTGCGAATGATTTCATATAACATTGGGCAGGTGAGTTGCATAAATGTTTCTATTATGCAATTTTTTCGATAGAAAAAGTGTCTTAGAAGGATGATAAAGCCATGTGTCATATAGATTGATATTTATTTTTGATATTTAACTCTAGTATCTTAATTACCTTTTCTTCTAGATCATTATTATTATTTTTGATGAAAGTCAATCAATATATTAAAATGAAAGAGCCAACAAGAAAGTGGCTAAAAAATGAGTTCAAAATACAAAGAAAATAGACAATCTAAGAGACATCCTGTAAAAAATAGAGCTAAGCTAAACTGACACATTCATAAAAGCTGAACTATCTGTTCAAAGAGCCCAATTGACGAGTTCTTGATGAATTTGTCCACGTTTTAATTCCATCAGAGCTATGCAGCAGTTCATTTCCACAATAGACAAAATGATTTTTGATATATCTAGCCCAATGCGCTACTCTATGAAAAACCAACAAAAGAACACTATCCCAATCAGTGATGGTGCCATTAAAGATAAGATCATTCTACACTAGCCAGACCAGCCATAAACTTGAATAGAGAATAAGAAACCAGACCTTCTTCTACATAAGCCTATGAACATGAAGACTCCATAACTGAAATAGATCATTATTGTTTTTTACTTCACCATATTATTGTTAATACTACAATCTCTTCTATATTTTGAGGAAAGTCACAGGTATTAGTGCTTGACACATAGGAGTTTATTTATTTATATTTTTTATATATATTTTTTTATAATTTCAAGTGAAGGAAAGGACCCGATTGGTGAATGAAAACCTACAACCTCTTGGGAACAAAATGCGTTCTTTTTCCTATTAATTGTAGAATGTGGGCGTGGTCAAATTTTGGCATAGACAATCATTGTATAGAGACTAGATTCTCTTTCAAACAATTTTTTTTGCTGCTAGTATAATTATTATTGGAACCATCTTCAAATCTGAAATTGGAGCATTTTACCTTTGCATAGCCATCTTCATGCATTATTTTGATCAGATAATTTAATTGCGTGTTTGGCGAATATTTTTGCAATTCTCAAGTGAATTAAAAATTATGAATTGAGATTGTTTTTCTAAAATACCCTGCTAGTCATAGGTTCTATGGTCATGCTTTTAGAGATCAGGGATCGTGTCATATTTCTTGGTGTGGTGAAATGCTGTAAATTTTCATTTCTTGAGATGATTGTCTGGTATTATCATGTTACATAACTGACTGACTAATTAACATGAATATGGTGCCTGTCTTTTCTTCTATACAGATTTCCTACCTGAATGCGCTTCGATTTGGGCTCAAGCGGATCTTCTTTGGAGGGTTTTTTATTAGGGGTCATGCGTATACAATGGATACAATTTCCTTTGCTGTACAGTTTTGGTGAGTTTTTTCCTTCCAAGGTTTAAACTTTTGTGTGATAAAGTTGATAATAGATAGTAATGTTGTTTACTTGAATGCTACTGCTTCCTGGCTACTTGTTGTTTCCATGATCTGCCTCTCTTTATTCATCATTTTTTTTAAAAATATATTTTTTTCATGTTCATATTTGTTGTCTAGGTCAAAAGGAGAGGCACAAGCAATGTTTTTACGGCATGAAGGATTTCTGGGAGCTTTAGGTGCATTTATGAGCTATGAAAAGCATGGTCTTGATGACTTGATGGTTCATCAGTTAGTTGAAAGGTTCCCTATGGGTGCCCCATACACTGGAGGAAAGATTCATGGACCTCCACTTGGGGATTTGAATGAGAAGGCAAGTTAGTTTGGCTTTGAAACATATGATCTAGAATGCCGACTACCTGGAAATAATTGGGCTGGGTCATGGTTTTTTCTATGTTCAAAATGCGGGTTAGTCTTATATTAAACATAAGGTAGCTGATGGCCTGATGTAATTTTTATAAAGCTGGTCATTAGATAGCGCCTAAATTACATTGGATTAGTCAGGAGAACCCCACTATCTATGAAACCTTTTGTTGCTCTAGTGATGACATGCATGATAGTTGCCAAAAGTAACTCCATTATGTTGATTCCCTGGGACCCCTTTTTTTTGGCCCATTATAATGCTAGACACTGATAAGATACAATATAGGAATAGATTCCTGAAGCAACTATATAAGCATTTATTCAGTGAAATGAAAAGGAAAAAGGAAAAGGAAAAGTGAAGAAAATGGATATCTAGTGGACTAACTTGATAGCCATGAGAGGTTAAAAGGTTGGAAGCTAGAGATGCTTTTCAATAACCCTTCAAGTTCAACAGTGTGATTGAATAATTGGCAACAAGAAACATCTCACCTGATTACCTTCATGGAAAACTAATTTATTTTTTCAACTTTAGATGCAAAGTACACCTGCACACAGACCATCTTAATATAGGCAATTCAAGGAGATACAGATGTCCGTTCTTGAGGTTATAGTTAAACCATCATGAGCTTTCTTCCTCCTAGATCTGAGTGACAACTAGGCGCTTCTCATCAGTGAGTGTAGTCTGGATATGTGGACTTCCCAACTGAAAAACTCTTATTTATCTCTTTTATGTGTTCTAGCTAGAAAGTAAAACCTATGGCTCAGATCTCAGATGATAGAAGAAGTTTGCTTGAGCCTTTTGGTTTAACCACTAGATTCCCTTGTTCTTGCTGAACATGTTATATATATATATATATATGCTGTTTGAATTGGATCTTATACATGGTTTATTGTTGATTCAAATGCAGATTTCATGGATGGAAAAGTTTGTGCAGAAGGGAACTGAGATTACTGCTCCTGTACCAATGGCTCCACCTGGAACCACTGGGCTTGGTGGCTTTGAAGTTCCTTCATCCAAAGGTGGTACTCTACGTTCTGATGCTAGTGCATTAAATGTTGGTGTTCTGCATCTCGTACCCACACTGGAGGTGTTTCCACAATTGGCAGACCCAAAAATGTATGCAAAATTGTACAGTACTGTTGCTAAAGACTCCATTAGATAATTTTACTCTCTAAACATAAATCCTTTAACACTTTTGAGTGGTTTGATTCAACTATCAGGTTGTACCCTAGACTTATAGCATCATGTTCCATCGTGGTATTGACTTGTCCCCATTAACATGTACTTGCCAACATATTGCAGAGCCAAAAGAGAGAGAGAGAGAGAGAGAGAGAGAGAGAGATTGTTACCTTTTTTTTTTTTTTTAATTTATTTATGGGTATGCTATAAATATGTGATTCATCAGTTACCCTTCCATGTAACTTTGTGAAGCAAACTGTTTTTTTTTTTTTTCTTTTCATCAGGTATGAGCCTAACACTATTGACCTCTCAGACCACGGTGAATTAGAGTGAGTAAACTCTGGGAATATGCTACATGTTTTAATAATCCCCGTTTAGCATCTGCTTTTTGACATTTGCATGACAGGAAGGTTTCTCGGCTGATTTTGTATGTCAATGTAGGTATTGGTTTACTGTGCTGTCCGAGCATTTGCCAGATCTTGTTGATAAGGTAAACATCAATATTTTCAGTAGTATCTCTCACTCACTCGCTTATGCACACGCACACACTCCATGCATGCATATGCATACACCTGTGTGCACACAGAGTCAATCAGCCTATGAAACTTTTGTACTCTGGTATTAACCATGACATTACGAATATGTAGCTCCGTAAAATTTAATTGGCATGGTTCTTGAAATTGAAGAGTCTCTTGCATTCGGAAGCTGCCCATTTTGATTGCCAAGGAGGAAATAGTTTAGTTTCTTGTTGACTGAAAGGCCAATAACAAATTATGGTCCCACTTGAGGTCATAGGGGTGGAACTATAGGGGAAGTCTTATGCCACAAAATTTTTGCAGGCAGTGATTGCTTTCAAGCCTCAATTCTTAGCAGTTATGAGCCCAAGACTGTTGCCAACTTGACAGACAATGCCTGTTGATTTCTTTTTTGATTATTTAGAAAAATAAGAAGTTTGATTGTCCCTTATGTCATTGTAATTATATTAAGAGCTTAATGTGAAATATCATAGGCAGTTGCTAGTGAAGGTGGAACAGATGATGCTAAAAGAAGAGGTGATGCTTTTGCTCGTGCATTTTCTGCTCACTTGGCAAGGTAATTAGAATTATGGTAAACCTTCTGATATGTTATTTGATATACATTTATTGAATAATTTCTGCATTCTAAAGTTGGACTTCAAGTATGTTGGTTAGATTACGATTACGTTGTAATCCTTTTTAATACGGGACTGAAGTACGATTCCATAAGCCACGCCCTCAATTTTCTGCACGCTCTCATTTGATTCTTGCTGGTAGCAAAATTGTTTGTTTCAAATCTGCTGTGCACAATACGAATTTTGCAGCTTCATTCTTTTTTATTGTTTTGTTTTGCTCTTCAGATTGGATATCTTTCTTGACATTATCTTTATGTTATGATGGTCGTTTTCTTCATTTACCAATTTCCAACTCACTAAATAGGTTGATGGAGGAGCCTGCAGCATATGGGAAGTTAGGATTAGCGAATCTATTGGAACTAAGGGAAGAGTGCTTGAGGGAATTCCAATTTGTCGACGCCTATAGAAGCATAAAACAGAGGTAACCACATTCTTTCTCAAACCACCTGTGGAAATTATTTGAACTAGATTTTCTCTCAATTCTTTTACAACATTGTTTATGTTTTGCACATATTGATCTGATCAGAGGCCATATAACATGAGGCATATCAATGTCAGAGTGGAAAAATGTTAAGGTGCCTATTGTGTTATCATACAAGCTGAACAGTGATTTTATGTAATTGAAGAAATTTTATATTCCTATTGCTTCAAAGAGTACTCTGCCAGATCATTTACTGTAGTATCCAACTTGTTAATGATAATTTGTAGTGCAGTTTACTTAACATCTGAAAGCTATATGTATGAGGATAAAGAGAATGTAGCACTAGAGTTATAGTGTGTCACGCAAACTTTCTTTCCCTCTGGTTCCTTTATTTATTCTTAGTTTTTGAATGCAAACAGGGAAAATGAGGCATCACTTGCTGTGTTACCTGACCTGCTGGTGGAGCTTGATGGCATGACAGAGGTATGTCTAATTATGATCCTAACCTTCTTCCTTTCCTCTTTCGTCTTTTCCCAATCTGGAATTAAGTGTTAAGTGAAACGATATCCTATATGAATGACAGAAATTCATGATAATGCTGATTCACCATGTAACTGTGTTGATCACCTAAAATCCTCTTCATTTTGCAGGAGACAAGATTGCTTACATTAATTGAGGGTGTTCTTGCTGCAAACATATTTGACTGGGGATCTCGTGCTTGTGTGGATCTCTATCATAAAGGAACAATTATAGAAATATATAGAATGAGTCGCAATAAAATGCAAAGACCTTGGCGGGTAAATGGAGAAATAAATATATATTTTTTGCAGGGAATACATGATTTGCATTATATGTTAAAGTAATTATTTGCTTGTATTGTTATGCAGGTGGATGACTTTGATGCATTCAAAGAAAGAATGTTGGGTTGTGGAGACACGAAGCCTTGCCCCCACAAGAGAGCTTTACTTTTTGTGGACAACTCAGGTGCTGATGTTGTTTTAGGGATGCTTCCCCTAGCACGGGAACTCCTCCGACGCGGAACTGAGGTAAGTGAGCCTTTATATTATGCTAGTGATAAAAGGCTTTTCAAATGTTTTGTGCACTACCCATCATTTTGTTTATGCAGGTTGTTTTGGTTGCGAACTCCCTTCCTGCACTAAATGATGTAACTGCTATGGAGCTTCCTGACATTGTCGCTGAGGCTGCAAAGGTTTGTCCACATGCGTGATGATTTGGAAACTTCTCATCTCTCTGTTTTAATGTGTTTGTCCAAGTGTCTTAGTTTTTTTTATTGGTTGTTTTTGCTCTTCCTCATGTGCACATGAATTGTGTGGTTGCATCTCTTCTTCTTCTTTTTTTTTTTTTTTCCAAACTGAAAAATGTCTAGTCATTTGTTTAATTTTTTTTCTTTCCTGCACATTTTATTGATGGATTCATAAAATCCATCATGGAAAATGGAATTGTTCTAATTTATGTTTGTGCCCCAGCTTCATGCAGTCTAGTAAATAAGATTAAATATTTTAGTCGACTAAAAAACTGCACAATGATGATCATGGCTAAAGAAATTAATTACAGATCTTTTGGGGGGCTAATTAAAGAAGAAGAAAAGATAAAGCTCATAGTCTTTGCTGCATGAAAGATTACTGAAATACTATGTCAGTGAGTGTTGGAGTTGCAAAACTCAATGCTGTTGGTAGCATTTACTTGAACGATGCCATGAAATTATGCCAGTGACCAAAAGCAAGTAAACTGATTCTCCTATTCCACAGCATTGTGACATTCTTCGCAGAGCTGCTGAAGCAGGTGGCCTACTTGTTGATGCAATGATAAACACTTCAGATGGTTCTAAAGAGAATTCGTCCTCCGTCCCCTTGATGGTTGTTGAGAATGGGTGTGGGAGTCCGTGCATAGATTTGAGGCAGGTCAGCTCTGAGCTTGCTGCTGCTGCGAAGGATGCTGATTTGGTATGAGACTGGTTCCTATTATCTAAATCCTTCTCAGTGCTTAACTTTGTAAAAGTCTCTATACCTTTTCTTTTTCCTCACTTCCTTTTGAGAAAAACCTGTTTCAAACATAAAATTAAGGACAGATGAAAGCAACTGTAATCACATTTTGGAGCTTGTGCTGTGCAGATTGTATTGGAAGGGATGGGTAGAGCTCTTCATACCAATTTCAATGCTCAGTTTAAATGTGAGGCTTTGAAGGTAATACTCTATGGAGACATTAAATGGTGCTTTTCTTTTACCGTTTCCTAGTGCTTCATGCCTGACCTTGTGGTAGTTATTGATAGGGGTGTTCGTTCGGTTCGGTTTGAAATTTTTCGAACGGTTTTCAATTAACCAAATTCTCTAAAAAAAATAACTGAAACAAAACCGAGTTGTTATTCAGTTTTTTAGTTTGACCGGTTTTGGTATTCGGTAATTCGGTTTTTACCTGTAATTATCGAAGCATGCACTTTCTAACGGATTGACACTTCTTACCAATGTTGAATGTCTCATAAAAAAAACTATAGCATATGGCATAATTGTAGGAATCCAAAGTATTAACATTATAGACTTATAGAGTCATAGTACTTGCATTATTACATAAATAATGAAACCAAGTAAGTGATTAACCAAAGGTCCAAAGTCCAAACTTGAAACTCTAAAGGTGGGTAGTGGCTCCTGTCATTGCCACTATCCACTGGGCAGTGGCCATCTGCCCATCTAGATTCCAGAGTCCAGCCAACTGGGCAGTGTCAATGTTCTATACATGCCCCAACTTTAATCTAGCTAACCCCAACTTTAAGCAATGTTCTATACATGCCTAGTTTCAATTATCAAATAAGCATTGTTGACTTGTTGTATTTGTATATAGACATATAGTTATCAAATCAAATTAGGGCAAGTTCCAAAAAACCAAAACCGAGTTCAGGTTCAGTTTGTAATTGAATACAACAAACTCTTGATTTAGTTAAATCTAATTAATATGATTGAAGTCCAATTAACTCAACTGATCAGTTATCACTGATATGCAAAAAAAGGACAAAAAGCTTGAACAAAATTCAACACAACCTAATTATCAGTTATCACAACTAGCCAGTAGCCAACCAAACTCCAAACATGATTAAAACCTTAAAAGTTTAAAACAATGTTCTATACATTACATGCCCAAGCCTACGCCTATCTACTGCCTACTGGAGAAGATAACAAGTAACAAACAACTAAAAATGCATCCAATACAAAATTTTCACAGCTTCACAGGACTTCAGAATCCAAGCTTGATCAATGCCCCCCTAGGGGACAATGTTTACAGTCTCTCTTCCAACTCCATTACCCACAAAATGCATCCAATTCCAAAAACCAAAATGCATCCAAAAAACTGAAAATCTAAGGAAAAAGATAGAAACATTTCAATTCACATTCACTGGATAATTATTTGGGTAAGCATGACTCACCATGAAATGCAGAATTGGAAATCTTGAAAGCTTGATAGTGGGACTGTGGGAGAAGAGCAAATTGGCAGAAGATTGAAAGAGGAGGGACCGAGGGATGAGCCTTGAAATCTTCGAGAGACTGTCCACACTCCATTGTCAACTGTGAAGAGGCCCAAGAGGTGGGAGGTGGCTGACGGTTGAGGGCCGCCTGAGGGCTAAGGAGGAGGATGAAGGTGGGTAAATGAAGGGGGGATGTGGGCATGTGGCTGATGGTTTAGGAATTGCGATTTTGGGGAGCCCTTTTAGGGATTGCACATTTTCAATTGCAGTGGGCAATGGACACTGGCAGTGAGGGAGGACCGAAGGAGGAAGAAGATTGAAGACTGAAGAGGCCAGAGGGGATCAGGGATGACTGGATGATTGATTGCGATTTGGAATTAGGGGAGATTTTAGGTTTAGGTTTTTGAATTCTGGAGACTGGAATTGGATATGATTTTGGGGTGACTGCGTGAGGCAGTGGCTCGTCGTCATGAGGGAAACTAAAGGGATGACTAGATGAGTGATGAGTCAGCTGGTTCTTGCCATGTTGGCTTAAATTTTTTTTTTTTAAAAAATATATTTTTAATAATTTCAGTTATTCAGTTTAATTGGTTTTTTTTTTTTTAAAAAAAAACCCAAACCCAGAACTGAAAGCCGAAGATATTTTGGTTCGTTTTTTTTAATTGTTTTTTAAAAAAACGTATCGAAATTGATATTTTGATGCGGTTCGGTTTGATTCGGTTATTCGATTTTCACTGAATAGTGAACACTCCTAGTTACTGAGGCTATATTTGGCTCATCAAACAGATTTTGAGCTTTAAAATGCCTTTCTTGATACTTACCAGTTTTACTTCTGAGATTCTAGAAGTTTGGGAAAATGGTATTCAAGTGCCGACCTCTGGCATCTTTTGAAGTCTCGTCCAAATTTCAACTTTCGCGTATTTCTTTCCACACCATCTAATGTGTACGTATCTCATTTTGCAGCTTGCAATGGTGAAGAATCAGAGGCTGGCAGAAAAATTCAAAGGAAACATATATGACTGTGTCTGCAGATATGAACCAGCCAGTTGAAATCTTCTCAAGTTCTTATCAAATCAGGATGCCATCATTTCGTAAAGCCCAAAAAAAAAAAAAAAAATCCTGATAGGTATGGAGAGGTTGTCAGTCCACTACCTAGAAATTGGCGAGGAAAAGAAAGAAAGGAAATAAACGAAAGGGAAAAGAACACTCAAGTTCCATATCTCCACTTTCTCGTGTTTATTTGCTTCGATCATTTGCTTGTTAATGTTATGTGGTAGATGATCATTTGGTGTTGATGTTGCAGTAGAGCACCTTGGCCTTGAGCTACTGGCTCCACTCTTTCTTCTCCTCGTGTCCAATACTTTGCCTTATCTTTGTGCATATTGATTTTGAAATTCATGGTGGGAATTTAATTCTGGAAGGGAATCGCCACAGAAAAAGTGTAGGAACTTTATTCTAAACTAAGAAATGAATCATGTATCTAAATCAATACTCTCTACAGCATTTGAGTAGGAACTCCAATCAAAGAAAGGAGGGCTCTGGTTTTAGGCGAGCTAACAATCTTCCCTCCTTGTGGGTTTTCAACACCTTAAGTGGTATATACAGTTCCTAAAGCCTCCAAAGGAGCAGTTTACTTCCTGCAGGAGGCTAAGGCAATCCAAAGCGCCATAAAGCTAGTATTTTCTTTTAACAAGTTGGCAACCGCCGAGTTCCAACACCAACCTCTTTCTTTAATAGATATAAAAGAAGAAAGAGAGCAGGAGGGAGAGAGGAGAGGAGGAAGGAGGAAGGAAGGAGAGAGAGCAAAGGAAATTCAGTTACACATATTAAGCTATTTTGTCTTTGCAGTTCTCTTTATATCCAAAGATAACTAAAGCGAGGCTTATTGTCACGGACTTGGTCTTTTCCAAGCTCACGTGCGGCATTTGGCTCTCTTCTTCTCTAAGACAAACAAAGTTAGTTTTTCTCACATAAAGTTGCTAAGTAGGAAAGACATACACAAGAGATATAAAAACTCTTTGTATTGCTTTCTAAAGCTTTCAACTCTAAAGATACACTCTTAAATTTGTGGATGCTCAGGTGTCTTGGCCAAGTGAAGGCCTCACCTATTTATATCCTTCCATCTCCATAATAGATGACTAGGATCTATTTAATCTAATGGTTATAATTGTTTCTCAGAAATATCATAACTAGATATTTACGAGGAACTATCTAGATATGTACATCTCGGATTAGTGAGGGATTCTCTAAAATTCTGCAGAACATGTCTAGATTTCTCTAGATCTTCCTAGAGACTTCTCCGATGCTCCATACTCCTCTAGAAGCTTCCAGCCTTATCTGAGGCTTCTCCTTTGCTCCATACTCTTCAGAAGCTTCAGACTTATTTAGAGGCTTCTCCATTGCTCCATACTCTTTTAGAAGCTTCAGACTTATCTAGTGTTTTCTAGAATCTCTAGGAAAAATCCCTCTTTTAGGCGGAGCATAACACTCTCCCCTACCTAATTCGACGACGTCCTCGATGCGCCTTCATTATACTCTCCGACCTTTCGTACGAATTGCCACAAAGCTTTAGCGGGTTCCCGACCGACCTCGCTATTAGGTAATCCCTTCCATCTCTTGGTGCTTCATACTCCACCATAAAGCGAGCATCCTTCAAAAGATAGAGGCTCGCGATCTTGACACGAATTCTATCCTCGATCAAGCCCATTGTCTCGAAATATTGCTCCACTTGCCAAAAGAAGTTATCCACTTCCTTGGCATCTCGGCTGCCGGAATAGTGCCACGGTCTCGGCACTTCAACTTTTGGTGTGTCCTTCAAGACCACACCATTCGAGATAGCTTCTCAAAAATTTTCTCAATTGTTTTTAAGTTGTTCGAGAGTTTGCTCATACACGATCATATACTCTCGATGTTGTTTGAACCTCGCCTTCGTCCATTCCATAAAGGCATCCTTTTCGACAACGTTCTCTTTGGCACACCTCAACCGTTTCTACTCGAGCTTGAAGATTGGAGAGCACCTCGTATGAGTCCGCCATGCCTAGTGTCTCCCCTCATCATCTCCTTCTATCTTCTCGAGTCTCTCCTTGAAATCGATAAGATGTTCCTCCGTCTTCATAGGTCGCTCCTCCAAGGAAACTAATACATCATGAGACTTCCCTTTCCTTTCTTAGGTTGAGGAGGTAGAGTCTCATTCCTAGCATCCCCAGCGAACATCCTCCATGCCAAAGCTAGACATGCTTACTTCGTCGAACACTTTTGCTAGCGGCGAGCTTACTCACACTTTGATAGAACTCGGACTCGATACCACTTGTCACGGACTTGGCCTTTCCTAAACTCATGTGCGGCACTTGGCTCTCTTCTTCTCTAAGACAAACTAAGTCGGCCTTCCTCACACAAAGTTGCTTAGCGGGAAAGACACACGCAAGAGATATAAAAACTCTTTTTATTACTTTCTAAAGCTTACAACTCTAAAGATACACTCTCTTAAATTTGTGGATGCCTAGATGTCTTGGCCAAGTGAAGGCCTCACTTATTTATAGCCTTCCACCTCCTCAATGGATGGCTAGAATCTATTTAATCTAATGGCTATAATTGTTTCTCTAGAAATATCCTAACTAGATATTTACAAGGAACTATCTAAATATGTACATTTTAAATTAGTGAGGGATCTGTTTAGAATTCTCTAGAACATGTCTAGATTTCTCTAGATAATCCTAGAGACTTTTCCAATGCTCCATACTCTTCAGAAGCTTCCGACCTTATCTGGAGGCTTCTCTTTTGGTCTATACTCTTACAGAAGCTTCTAGACTTATCTAGAGGCTTCTCCATTGCTCCATACTCTTCAGAAGCTTCAGACTTATCTAGTGTTCTCTAGAATCTCTAGAAAAATCACTCTTTTAGGCGGAGTGTAACAACTATGTTAAAAATAATGATTGAGGCCCATAATATTGCTTAACTATAGTGGTAGTTAACCCGATTCCGGACCGATTACTAACGAGTCCACTTATATATAATTCTATCAAACATTACATTCCTAATTCAATTTAATTTTTCTCCTAATTCAGCTATTTTGCTTCATCTTTTCCTTTGCACATTTCACCATCTCCTCCTTCAAATTGCCATTATCTTTAAGGGTGAATGATGGAAAATGCCTTTTGACCTCTTCGGCAAATTTTCAAGTAGCTTATGTAGGTAATAGATCACGTCAATGAATCAACTATTGGACAAGAACTCTATTTTTATTCTTAATAATGCTCTCAAGTATTGCAATTGGTTGAGGTGGAGTGTTTGGGTGCAATTCAAGAAGTTTCCCCCTCTTCTCCATACAATTCATTAAGAAGGGAAATGCGAAACATAGTGTGGATTAAAGTTATAGAAGGTAACTTTAATCGATAAGCTACTCTTTCCACCTTTTCTTATACTAAGAAGAGGTCATAGTATCGAGCAAACAACTTGTGAAAGCATCGTTTTGTCATTGATTGTTGTTTGTATGGTTGCAATTTCAAGTATAATCATTTATCAATTTCAAATTGACACTCGTTTGATGCTTGTTTGCAACTCGAACCATGCGATTATGTGCTCGTTAAAGGTTATGCTTGAGATGCTTATAACATAACTTCTCTAAATGTAAGGTAAGTGTCCATAACTTCTAATGACTAATCTCTTGAAAAATAAGGTAAATGAATAGGGAGTGGAAACCCATATATTACTTCAAATGGTGTCGATCTAGTGGATGAGTAAAAATTAGTATTATAGCACCATTCGACTAAAGAAAGCCACTTAGACCATTCTAAAGTAGTATCTTTTGTCATACATCGTAAATAGGTTTCTAACTATTGATTAACTATCTATTTTTGACCATCGATCGAAGGTGATAGGTTATAGCGTAGCATAATTCAACATTCTAAAGGGAGAATAACTTTAACACTCCAACTTAGGACCTAATAGATTGAGAATATTACGATTATTAACCTACATTCGAAGTGCAATGAATGCAAGCTAACAAGACACTATGACTTATTCATGATACTCCTAGGTATAGAATACGGCTGTAGAAGCCTAATAAATAACGATTAGGTCCCACATTTTAATTCAAAATGCATTATAAAATTTTTGCATTTTATTATTTTATTTAAATTATTTGGACTCGAAATAATTGGATTGGTGACACTCGGTTTTCTCAAATTCTTTTTCGTTAACTTATATAAATTCATTTAGTTATGACCAATTACTCGGTAATTAATTGCTTTTCTTTTTCATTAATTATCATTTATTTCTGTTATTGTTTGTCTAGTTTCATTTTCTTATTTTCTTGTTGATACTACCATGGAAATGAATATTTAAAGAAAGCTATACTAAGCTATGATTATGCTACTTGTTTTATTATTGATATTTTTTTCACATACAAATTACCATTAACATACAAAAATCGGTTCAATGCCAAATACTATAAAAATGACTTATTATCTATCTACATTCATTTCTTACTAACTAGTCGTTCACTCTTTCATAGCTTTAACTATCATGTAAAAAAACAAAGTCATAACTAAAAAGTAAACCGAGTATACCAAGTAGTAAAATAACCAAGGTGTGAATGAGATCCATCTTCCAACCACATCTAATATACACTTATCGCACGGTCCCTTTGGTAGTTAGCTCAAAGGTGAACATCACCATCTTTACCGTATTAGCTACACAACAAGAAAATAGATGAGCGATAGCTCGGTAAGTTAATCTATGAATGCTATGCATGTAAATGAAAATGCATGTGAAAATCATTTGTATGCTTGCATTAAATCCTTTTCTATGTTATAAAATCCTTGTCATAATCGGTCTAAAAATTATTTTCTATCTTTGGACATGTCCCATCATAAGTATTTCGGGGTTTTCGTAATATGTCCGGCAAACCAGGACCGATCTGCGAACGCATTTTATCGAATCTCTAAAAGTGCATGTACGTACTTATCCGGCACTAAACTAATTACCATAAAGGCATAGAAAACCCGTGAAGCCCTCCTCAAAAAAATTCTCAAAGCCACGAAATCCTCAAA